TTTATCTCCATACAGAAATTACACTTAACCAGATAGTGATTCATCTTTCATGAATTTATCTTTCGTGAATTAAATGTCTGTTGAAATAATATTCTCAAATGAAAAAAGTAGAGGCTTGGACCCAGAAACAGTACTCCTTATATCACATCTTAACAATAGGAGAGTATTAGTTTCTCATAGCTGCTTGTCTCCGAATATATTTCCTTGGGAGAACAACAAGCACACGATACAATACATACATACTATACGTACAAGCATATGTGTAAAGGGTGTTTGTTGTGAATATGGCATTATCTCAAACTTACAGAGGTACACAACTGCCAGTAGTAAAGATTGTGGTACTTAAGTTGATGCCACAAACATACCCAAAGTACAATTTGAAAAAGACCAGTGGGGGTGTAAATACGGGCCTAAAAGCATACCACATCTAAAAATGGTATAGGTACAAAAATTGAGATTCAATCTACCTTTCGGAGTTCCTTCACTTCCTGCAGGGGAGCAGACGGAACGTACAGGAAAAGAGGCATTTCTCATAGCGGGGTCACTCTCCTGTGAAAACACAGACAACATGGGTTGAAAAATGTGCTGTTAATACAGATCTAGGCCCAATCGAATTAAGAAAAATAATCTAGAGGCAGAAATATATGTAGGGTTAAAAAAAACTTTTGTTGGCAAGCACTCACATCATTTCCAAGTCTCTGGACGATGCTGATGTACTCATCGTTGGAGCAAAGCCTCGCATTATGGTTGGAGTTACCCGACACTTGACAGGAGACCTTGTTGTCATGGATGTTCCTCATGCCACTAGGAACTATCGGACTGGATACAGATACTGCAACACACAAAAAAAAAACGTATTCACTGACTTATTTTTATTTGGAAAAATCTGCAATGACTAATTTTTCACAACAAGAACTTTGCATTAAAAAATGAAATACACGTTTCAGTTTTTGATTTTAACAGCAAGCAATGGTTTTCAGTCATATCATTCAGCAAGGGACATGGATAAAAGAAGATTCACTAAGAACCAACCTTATTAAATCCACTTTTCCTTGAGCCTTGAGGTGTTTTAAGACTACAGATACTGAAAACGGTGACAATCCTCTTGAGGTTCTCTTCAGAGAGGAGAGCAGGGACTCACCTTGCTGGATCTGTTGGTGCTGAGGGTAGCTGTAATGCATGTAGTCTGCGGGGCTCTGTGGCGCATACGGGCTGGGCACTGGGCTGTTCTGCTGGGG